TTTCATTGTTCAGACTGTTCTCGGTCGTTGTACGCTCCAGCCTTCTTCAGGAGATATGAACTGGAATTTCGAACCGAACCCTTTATTTCGTACACCGGGGTAGATTGATCTAGTTCCACGTGCCATGTCTTTTCTAGTTATCTCAGTTTCAGTTAATTCCCTTTAGTGACTCAACTCTTCAAGTTTTGTTAACCTCTGTTGTGGCCAGGTATTGAACTCAAATTCTTTGGGTCAAGTCATTCGATTACTTCAACCGACGTCTTTATCCAGGGGACCATCTGTTCTTGGGGTATAAATAAAGAGTTCATTTCGAAATTGCAACGTATATCACATGAAAAAGGCCGGAGAATACAACGGCCGATATGTGAATATGACTATAAAGATGAGGGCAATAAGTCCGAATAATGGAAATAGTGTAAATAGTTGCAATAACTCATCTCAAATATAGATAGATCCTTTCATACTGTTTTTTTTATTATTATTTGAGATCGGTTTACTATTTGTCATAGCTGGGATTCTAACAGGTGCTGTCACTCTAGGTCAGGGTGGACATGAGTCCAGAAGCAATTAACAGGTGGTTACACGTTCTTCAAAACCTGATCAGAGGCCTTGCAAATTCTCTGGTGTTTGGATGCAGATGTTTTCCAACAAATAACTTTAAATAATTATTATGCAAAGTGGCTGAACTTCCAAAGTCAGGCTTATCGGGAAAAAAAAAAGCCAAACTGCAATCGACCAAATTTACTAAAGCTTCGTTAGCGTTTATACATTGTCATAAAAATTCTCCGTTATCGGTGTGGCATTACTGTGTTGCAGAATGCTGCACGCAGTGGCAAATATGAAACTCATTAAAACCTTCGTCTCCTGTGGTGTTAACTGCCAACTATAAATACGGAACAGATGCCTGAGAACTGATGATAACATAAATCTAATTCTTGTTACAGTTTATAACTTTAAAAAGTGTTTCTATTCCAAGCGATGATATTGGGATATTGTAAATACTTGTTTTCTTACTTTTGAGATATTGAGAGCCTTGTCATTTCAAGAGTTGTTTCAAGTAGTGTTCTCTTTCATTTTATTATTCTTATTATTAATTTTGTGATGTCAACGAACACTCGTTGCCACTTTTGTAATGTTAACGAACGCTCGTTGCCACTTTCGTAATGCTCGTTGTAGTAGAGACTTTGTAATCGCAGATACAACTAGACTAACGCCGTTGAACAATGCTGGTGTCAGACGCCTTCGAATAACACTCGCACTAATAGTACTTGCTCGATAATACTCTCTCGAATAGTAATCCGAAGAGAGAAATAGTGAATAGAGTAGAGAATAGCGGTCCGTATAGTAATAGAGAATAGAAATGCAATCATTTAGACGTCACACGACTTCCTGCTTATCCGTTTCCTCTATGGTCACGTGGTCTACTTAATTCAATAATGGGATCGCCTGTGTTTGCTCGCTGGCGATGTATGTTCAAACTCAAGTGTCTTCAGTGACACTTTATTCCTATATAACAGTCTTATTTGTACATCGGTAACAGAATAGGGAATGGGAATAATAGTAAAAGACAGATTATAGGTAGTTGTAGAGAGCCATGATCATCCACGTCTTCAAGGGACATAGCATAAAGAATTACTCTTATTACTTATGTCTCGTCTACAAAAAGAAGAATTTGGTTATATACTAATCAATTCAGTGTATCCTCGTAAACGCAAACCAATCACTCAATACCATGTTTTGTTGGTCGGTTGACTTTTGTGGGTAGCATATCAACACCTCTATGGGTTATTTGATGTTAAATCTAAATATTTTTTTACGTAATTTTATGCTTTCAACTACAGATATTTTGTAGATAATTTTCTACTTACAGGGTAAATGTTTTTCGATATAAATTTTTACTATAAAAATGTATTTTTATATTTTAGTTTTGCTTTGATTGTCATTTTGATATAAAAATGTATTATCGATTATTTTATTATAAAAATATATACTGTTGATTTTTGTTTGGGGGTTTACTATTTGTCCATAGCTGGGACCCTAACAGGAGCTGCCACCCCGGTTCAGGGTGGACCTGGGATCAACGGCAATTAAAAGGGTGCTTCCACGCTCCTCAAAACCTTCAATTTATCGATCAAAGGCCTTGCTGCCGGATATAGTTTATCGTCAAATCCAGGAAGAACGATGCTCTGCAATACCTGTAACACAGACGATTTTATATTGGTATATGGGATTCTTTCCAGTTCCCGACTCGCTGAACAATGCTAGTCATACAAGTCATATCGCGCTGCAGTCTGCAATTGACTGACTTAGAAAAATATTCGACATGTTAATATATGCCGCTTCTTACAATTTCCTGACTCTCCTGTCATGTTTCCTGTTATGGGAACTTATCTATAACGATAATGGACTCTTCCTGACACTATAAATACTGCGCCTCTCAAGAGGTGTAATGAATGAATAGTGTAACGAGCACCAGGTCATGACTGTTGAACTCTCTGCTTTGGCAGAGAGTAACCCAGACGAGGCTTTGCCGAAGGGCAAGGTTTCGTCCGTGGCGGTAGACAGGCCCTGAACAGGTTCAAAGGGTATATTTTTGGCCGAGCCTACGGGTTCGGGAAACCCATGTTTAACTCGGCCTTGTGCCACATGCAACCCTCGTGGGGGGGGGTGACTAGATACCGAATGAATGGTGTAACGAGTCAAGACAATATTAGTTCACTCTAAACCAGACGGACAATTATTACTAACACCTTCAACTTTTTGTACTATATTTCTGTTGTAATATATCTTTGTTATTCTACTCTTGTGTTCGTGTTGTTCTTCCTTGGTTCTAACCTTGGACCATAAATGGGGTGCAAGGATATTGGACCCTAACATTTCCTTTTCATGTTTTGAACCAGATTCTTCTTTTTCTTTATCTTCCGTGTCCTTTCAGGATGGATGCGATCATAGCTCTCCATAATTTATTGTCTTTTGTAGATCTTAATAAATTTTATCTTTTTCTTATCTCTTCTAAACCTTACACTGACATCCGTTTACGCAAACAATCTTGGTCTGTTATGAGTTGTTTTCTTCAGTCCACCTTGACTTCAATGTGTCCTTTGAGTTTCATGCCACAATTCTTTTACTACTTCATATGTTTTTCTCATGACACTCGAGTCTGACTTTGAGGGAACGACTATTTATATTTTTAACAGTTGAAATGGGATGCTATAAATTCAATCGTTTATAATTTACTAGCAGTAGAGCCCGGCGTTGGCCGGGGATGTAACAGTAAGAGATAGATCAAGTATCGACCATCATAAAGACTGAAAAATAAAAATTGACAAAGATTATTGTTTAAGGTTGATGGACACGCATGTCTTAATTAGTTTTTTTTTTTACGAATTGGTCAAACCCAAACTCAAACAAAAACATTGTTTTCAATCGTTATGAGTCTATCGATTGAATAGAATTTTTCAATTTTATTATAAACAATTGTCTTGTAAATGGAATTTTTAAAGCATTCTGAATGTAAAAATAAAGAAAAAAGTGTGCAAGACAATAAGAAACACTACCTGCCAAAAAAAAGTGAAGTTTTGTTGAAAAATGTAGGAAATCCGAGCCCATATATAAACGAACACACACACACACACACACACACAAACGACCTGGGTTTTATAATAAGTATAACTCGATATGAGTTGCTCCCCTTTCATTCTCGAAACAGCGATGCCTCTTAATCATGTTTTCAAATTGATTTTGTGCAAAAACAATTGTGTTTTTCCAATTTTTGGCACTGTCAGAACCACCGCAAGGTAATTTTACGTAGTCCTGTGAAGTTTTGTTGAAATCGGTTGAAAAATGTAGGAAATCCGATCCAATATATAAACGAACAGATACACCCACACACACACCTGTGTTGTGTGTGTGTGGGTGTGTCTGAAATCATACTTATTATAAAATAAGTATGATTTCTTGCGTAATCAACCTTATCCAAAAGGATATTTCAAAATGATAAGGGCACTAAATGTCTTTAATACACCTCAAGAAGAATGCATTCTATGCTCTCCAGTTCCCTCTCTGCAGAGTAAAGAAAATCACAAAGGGCTGAAATCCACATCAGTCTTTATTTACAAATCTGTCCGACAGGATAAATAAAGAGTACGATGTATAAATTGCCGTCTAATTTACGCAAAAATTAAAATAACACTGACAACTCATTTTAACAGATATTTTTTATCAAAATTACAAAAAAATATCTTATTTATTCAATAAAATCGCCATTGGTTTCAACAACGGCCACCTGACGACTCCAGAATCTCCTGCAACTCTTCTGAACAGTCTTCTTGTTTAAGTTGGTGAATACTGCCATAATCGTAGCCTTCAGTTCATATTTGGTGTTGCAAAGAGTTTTGTTGATCTCTCACTCAACTGCGTCCTACACATAATAATCAAGAGCGTTGTAGTCTGGGGAGTTAGGTGGCCATATATAAAGTGTCATGTGGTCATAGATATTGTCTGATAGCCTTGATTGGGCTCTGTTGCTTGTGTGGCTTGGTGCAGTGTCCTGCTGCCAGACATAGGGTCTTCCAGCAGTCGCCTTCTTGACCCAGGGAGCACTACATACTCCAGGTTCAAATATAGGCCTCTGCGATGAGTCTAAGTTCCTTTGGCAAGATGGATGGAGACATTACGTTGTCCTCACTAGTGATCACGCCAAACACCTTAGTACACTCTGAAAGGTTCGTAATTGTGTGTTCCGGTGCGAATGCCAAGCAGTAGAGCAGGACGCTTCCAAATTTCTGGCGGAGTAAATTGGGTCATGGTGCTCTTTTTCCCACAAACGGTGCCCAACTGACCCTACTATTCTGTGCAGTCGGCAAAATTAAAAGCAAACAATGCGCATGAGCGAAATTCAAAATATAAAATGGCGACAATTTACCCATCGTTCCCTGTATATGCCAGATCAATTTTTTCTCTCTCTAATATTCCTTAAATAATAGTAATAACTGAATCGCCTACTCGTCAAGTGAGATAGATAGAGAGAGAGAGAGAGAGAGAGAGAGGGATAGAGAAAGAAAGAAAGAAAGAAAGAAAGAAAGAAAGAGATAAAAAGAGAAAGAATAATGTAAGCATTTTTCTCTACATATATGGTCTTCTATACCTGATTTTCTAATTTCCTTTTGAATACGATTTTATGTTTCTTGCAAGTGTCTTTAAGGCGACGGCTAGTTTCTCCCTTATGCTTTAGGTCTCGTTATTAAATATTGAATTTTGCTAGTTCCAAATCCGCATATTTTAAACGTGATGTCACTTTCCGAAGCAACAAGGCGTGTACGAACAGATCAGTCGCTTACTTTCAATCCAGTTTTATTCTATTGGTAAAGAATTTAAAAGTACACAAATACCCGATTATATGAATGTCAATAGAATTGGTCATGATGTACATCATTGCATAGAAACGCAGCTTAAAGAATAAAAATAATCGTTAAATGCAACTAGTTATCGTGAGTTCAATCTCTGGGTAAGTCAGTGGAAATAATATACAGGAATCCCTCGATTAGTACGGCTAATGTGTACATAGGTAACTATTAAGAAGTCATTTTTCAATTACTACGGTTAATCTTGAAAATGATTCACCGCCATAATCGAGTATTATGTATGCACTGATCGAATTTTAGTATACAAAGATTTTAGCTCACTAATTGAAAACGCATAAAGCGAATCCGCATTAATCGAGGGATGCCTGTCCAAAAAAAAAAAAAAAAAACAATGAAAAAAAGAAAGAAGCTACATCAAAAGAAGAAATTCTTTTTTCTATTATGTGCCTTTTACGTCCCTGTTGTGGGGAATCATGGTTCTCCACAACTTCCTTTTCTTTGTCGCTCTAAGTAATGTCTCTCTTCCATTCTATGTTCTGCCGTCCATCAGGTTAAGTAAATTACTAGTTATTTCTTTCTGCCCGCCTGTTGCCTTCACAATGTTTTGCAATATGTGTTGTGAGTGTCAAATTCACCAAGTCATCTTTTCTCATTATGCGCCCCAGAAATCTCAACTCTCTCTTTCTGATTCTAAGTCCAGGCATACTTTTCGTTTTCTTTTTCCTTAAGATTTCCTCGTGGTTCACATGCTTCATCCATGGCATTCTCAACATCCTTCTGTAGAACCTCATCTCTGTTACCTGAAGTCTCCTCTTCATCTGTCCAATATTTACTGCCGTATAAGAGGACTTATGCTGAATTACAGTTGAGCACTCTTAATTTTGTTTCCAACGGAATTTTTCGGATTCTTTATAGTAATACGCAGTTTGGTACAAGCATCCTAAGAATTAATCCATAGCTGGGGCGAGAAGAGATGGATTGATGCCTTTTCCAAGGGTATTTGCGCATAAGTGAATATAATGAAGCCGACTGGAATTAGAACCCGGCTCTCTGATTTCCAATTCCGAGCCATTATTCATTATCCATGACACCACCCGTAAATCTATGCTCACAGCACCTGGTATTCCCAAGTGGTCACCCATCTCGGTACTGACCAGGCTGTCTCAATCAATCAATCAATAATAATAATAATAATAATATCATAAATATTGAATAACTGATTTGTTTTTTGCGGATTATCAACATTTTATTGGTTATTTAAAGCTGTAACATATTTTAGAGTTTAAGAATATTTTTTGGCGCGTGAATATTGCATTAACATATTTTTGCAGATACCAATGATTTTCCAGATACAAATCCTACTATTTAACCCATAGATAGGCGGAGATGGATTCATACCTTTCCCAACTGAATTTGCGCGTAAATGACACAAACTAGACTGGAATTCGAACACTTGTTCTCTGATTTTTCATTACGATCCTCTCTCCATTACACCACCCGCACATCCGTCATAGCTGTTTAACATATTTTGGAAATTTTGCAAACTCCGCTATGGCATACTCAAGGCTGAATTATGTGTGTACGAGTTTTTTGTTTTTTGTAGGCTAACATCAGGCCACCCGTTCTTTCATCTCGGCAGCTGAAATATTTAGTGCCAGAGAAGCCAAAAGACTGAAAACACAGGGCAAGTCGGAAGTAAGTTAAATAATAAATCAGTTGCATGCTTAACATTCACCGCTGTGGAATAGGTGGGCGGTGCCTGTCGTCTCTTTCCATTCTAGTCGCCCTTAAACATCGCCCTGTAAATTTTGTCTCAATGAAAAGTGACGGTCGTCGTTTGTTAAAGCCATTTCGTTCCGCAAGAATTAATCTCGCAGCAAATGTTTCCTCCTTAGCGTCTTTGAAGTGCCCTCCTCTATGATAGTCTTTGCTACAACTTCTTTAATGCTTCCACAACAATAGGAACGGGCCTTCAGTTATTTTCTTAAATGTGCCTGTTTGTGACATTCACGACAACAAAGCGGACGTCTGTTATAACTATCTCTTGAGATCCATCTATGTTTTATCAGCTTCCCTTGCATAAATAGATGTATAACTATTGGTAAGTTGGGGGGGATATTACCTGTTTTTATGGGTGTACAATTAGATATAATCTTTTGAATCAGAAAAAAAAAGTGCGTAGTTCCTATTTAATTTCAAAGACAATATCTAGATGTAGATTTATTCAACTGCATGTGATTGAATAAATCTATACCCTACTTTTTGACAGCTTTCAGGCATCTTCATGATTCCATCCCGACAAAACTTGGCATTTTTTAGGGGTGATGATCAACTCTAAGTGATTTCTTTTACAGGTTAACAGAAAATTAAAGTTCTCACTAACTGAAATTTGTAGGGGTTGAAATAAGTGGTAATCGGACGGTGAAAGGTCAGAGAAGTATGACGGGTGTAGCAGAATAAGCTGGAATAGTTCTTTTCTTTTTTTTTTTAAATAATTTCACCCCAAAGAAAGAAGTAAAGTCACTAAGACGCAAGATGTTATTGAGTGAACGATAATATGAGTAAATAAAAATTATTCAGGAGAAAGAGAATAATAAAAGAACAGGAATTAAGAAAACAGAAGATATCGATTGACATTGCGTTTAAATTTTTTAATTCAAATTCGACCGGAAGAAAGTTCCACATACATAGAACTTACGATTTTCACTCATGAAATGATGAGACTTTGCTGCCAATCTAGTCCAGAATTGATAAATTTGTATGGTGTCACCTTCCATCAGAATAACGCTAGATCTCGCGAGAAAACGCACAGTGAATCTACGTTACGATGGCGGCAAAATGACTGAAGCTGAGATAACAGCTCCAGAACTGATAACATTACAGATTCTTCTTTCAATTTTGTCAAGAATCTTTAAATACATAGCAGAAGTGCCAAACCAGATGTGACAGCAATATTCAGTGCATAGACTAATGGTAGATTTATAAACCTGCAAGATAGATTCTGTCGAGAATTGTCTAACACAACACAGTGAATCACCCTTCCTAGCAGTAGACAGGGCAGCTGATTCAATATAATCGTAAGTGTAAAACTCTAGTCTGAAAAGGCAATTTCTGCCAGTTCTGCAAAAGAGAACAATAAAAGAACAGGAGTTAAGAAGACAGAAGTTAACGCATTTAAATTCTTCTTTGACTGGGACACAAGAGTTCCACAAGCTAAACATATGAAAGAATAAACTGTTAGCATAGAACTTACGGTTAGATCAAGTCATTTCAATTGTAAAATGATGAGACATGGCCGTCAATCTAGTACTGCGCTTAAATTCGTAAAGGTACCGTAGAGAATGGTTCACCAGAACAATTATAATGAAAATATTTATAGAAAAGATACAAAACATTACTTATTCTTCTTTGCATTTTATCAATATTCTCTAAATATTTAGCAGAAATGGAAGATCGAAAGAAATGAATCCACTGTAAAAAGAACGTATGATGCTAACTACAAATAATAAAGCAAGTAGAGAAATCTAATAATCTAATACAGGCATCCTAAGGAATTTTCGAGTGGCGAAACATATCTTCACAAAACTAAGGAAAGTACTAAAAATAGAAAATCTCGGCAGAATCAAAGAAAAGTGTATTCAACGGTTATGTAATATCAATCCTTCCATACGCAAGTGAATACTGAACAAATTCTTCACAGATGAAGAGGAGACTCAAGGCAACAGTGATGTGATTCTACAGAAGGAAGCTGAGAATATCACAGAGGGAATATATGAGTAACGAGAAATTTTTATATGAAATAACCCTGAAAAGAATGCATGTGCTTAGAATAAAAAAAAAATGAAATTTGTAGAAACATAATGATGAAAGAGGGTATGTAAATTTTACACCCACAGGACATATTGAAGTTAGGAGTGTCCGAAGGGAACAGCGAGTATCCTACCTAACAAGGTTGTGTAGATGAATTTGTAGAACAAGTAGTAGGGGTTAGTAAGTGCCTAATCAATGCTTAGAATTACAAAGGTTAAGAAGTTGTGGAGACACATGATCGCCTTATTGCTTATTCTCTGATCTCTTCCATTTCTTGCTGAAAGCTATTCACAATTATTTGCTCATAAAGGTTCATTTAAGTTTTCATAGTGAATCAGACATGTTGGTTTTTCGATTTTACTTATTTGGAAGCTACACCCTTGTGAAAGGTACGAATCCTCTTCTTCCTTCAGCTATGGGTAAATAGCAGGACAGGCCGGGTTCTCTAGCCTTGGATGGCAACTGGTCTACCACAGAAAGAAATGACAACCTACTGCAGGAAAAAAAAATCTGCCTCGTCAGTCATGTATCGAAAGATACATGATCGCTTAAGTTTCAACACTTGATTTGGATATGTCTTGATTTAATAATTATTAACATCCAAATGGTGTAAATGCAAGTGAAACGCCGCAAATCATTTTAGACATGTTTGATCATACATATTTCTCCCTCTATGTGCCAAGTCCTCTCAAGCAGTCACGTCTCTCTACATCTTCCTATTTTCGGGATTTTACCATCCTTCTTTGTCCCTGTTCTGCTACCCATCCAAGTAATCTAGTTTACTCGTTATTTCATTTAACTTCTCGCCCATTCATTATGTCCTGTGTGTGTTAAATTTTCCAGGTCCGCTTTACTCATTATGTTTCATAAAGATTCTAGCTGTCTCTTTCTACTTGTAAGCATAAATATCCTTGCTGCTTCTATTTTCCTTGGGAATTCCTCGTTCATCATATGTTCTGTCAATGGTATTCTTCGCATTCTTCAATACAATGACTTTTCTCGTGTTTCAAATCTTATTCATTTATGAGAAAATTGTTCTGCCTTCAAAGTTCGATAAGGGATTAGATATTATATAGCAGTTCAGCACCTTTTTCTTTATTTCTGATGATATTTTCCTATGTCTTACTAATTTACTTAGTTTCTGAAAGACATCTTTCGATATTTATATTCACCTTTGGAATTATATATATTTGCTTATATTTTATATTTATTATATATATTTGCTTATATTTTATATTTGAATTATATATATTTACCTATATTTGCAGCAATATTTACATTTTTTCTAGCGATGTGAGACAGTAATCCTAATACACAGGGAAAAAATAAAACTACATAGAATTGCATTTTTCAATCGTATTCAACAGTATTTTACTGCTCAAAGGATTCTAAAAGATTCAAATGCAACATGCAGTTGCATTTTCAGTTGAAGTTGTGGTCTCTACAGGATTAACATGCGAAAACATATCGACGCATTTTTTTTTCAAGCGTACTGAGGTTTTCACCCTGTACTTCACGGGCTGAACTCCAGGGTTAACAGTGTCGAGTACGTTGAAATTGTAGGAATCTACAGGTCTGACACAAAACATACAGTGATATCTTTACTTTTTCCACCTTCAGTGATAGAATCGATAAAAGAATATATCGAAACATTTTGAAACTCCTACACGTTGATACGACACTTGTCACATGGTTGAAAACAAACGTTTAAAAGGAAGTTATCATAAAATTGTTATATCGTGGATAATACGATATAAGCAATCAGGTAATCCCGAGTGGAAAGATTGCACTAACACAGAGATTAGGTAAAACAATAAGGTTGTTTTATTGTACGGAAAGTACAATCAGTAAGAGTTTGTGTTATGTAGTGGTTTCACAGTGGAGGCTTGTATTTGTACTAAGTCGGTCCTAAAATAGGTTCGACGTAGAAAACATTAGGAACTTGATATAAGAGGTAATGACGCAGCAATCTAGTTGTGGTGGCTGATACTTTAATATCCGACTAACGGTCGTCCGACATCGATTGACTGACCAACACTCTGAGCGACTCAGCGACTGCTACTACTCCTACTTATTATAGAGTCTATTAACAATAGAATAGGTGTGTTCCAGTATAACAGTTTGTAAATATAACAATAAGTAAAACGGGAGATACGTCACGGAGATCGTAGTCGTCCTTTTCTGTCACTACAATAGTTCGTCACGTCTTTTATTCTCCCAGTCACGTCTCTTTTAAACTGACCAATCACTGTCGGGGTGTTGTAGGTTGTTCCACTATAACAAAAATTAACGTCACTATTTAAAAATAGCATAAAACAAAGGACAAATATTTTCATCGACCTAATATAATGTACGTTATTCTGGCATAAGGCCACAATAGTGGGATTGTTCTGTTACTGTAGTACTACAGTTCAATTATTTTCCCTTGTTCGTTTCTTTTTACTTTACCTAAGTTTCAAATTAGTCACCTTTTTTGGTCACTTCCTGTTTAGCCTTTGGATAATTCCAGAACCAACAGAATAATCAACAAGTTGAAGATACGCAGTTCCTACTGTTTCTATTCTCCTAAGTCTACCCGAAACCTTTTTTTCTGTAAGCTTTGTTCTTTTTTAATATCATATTATTTGAACTTTGGTTTAATATAATCACGTTGTATACATTTATTTTAACAACTCTACTTCGTCACGTGCGAAGCCCGTCTGATACCTCCTCGAGTCTAATGCACTTTTCCGTCCTTCTCTGTCGCTCTTCTGTGTACTGTTGGAAACATTCTTCTTGGATGCACCTCAACTCCATCGTTATGGACTTCTTAATGACCTCGACGCCTTCAAACGGGTCCACTTGATAATCCCTTTTTAGCTTGAGAAAAAGAAGAAAGTCATACGGAACAAGATCAGGGAAATAAGGAGATAGTTCCAGTACGGCGATGTTATTCTCGTCTAGAAACTTCCGGATGCTCAGGGCGTTGTGAGCAGGTGCATTATCGTAATGAGGCAGCCTTAATTTGTCCTGCTACAACTCCCGTCTCTTCTCGTGTACTAGACGAAGCAAAGGCCGCAGGATCTGTTTGTAGACTTGCTGATTGATCGTTGGCCCTGTGGTAAGAACTCAATGTAGACAATAATCATAGCTGACACGGCACACTCAATTCAGTTACAGTCCTCATAGAACCCTTTATTACGATGTGATTTCTGTTCTTACTGTTGTAATGAACGACAATACTTAGAACAACAACACATATAAGATTCGCCAGCGGCGCGTAGAAATAGTAGTCAACTGCTAGAAGTGAATCAAGTGAATTCCACAATGAATCTCCAACTGCAGGATATTTACCAACCGCCCCACGCAGTCAGATGTGGCTCAAGGCCTAATTAAATGTGGGATTTCCGAGCCCGTAGGTTCGGCCAAAAATTCCCCATAGACTCCGTATAAAACGGGATCGGGCAGCTCTTTCCCGAGAAGAGACTCCGCCCCTCAACACAGCCCCATCTGGGGATTCTCTCTGCTCGGAGGCAGAGAGTTTGACCAGCACAGATGGAAACGAATCTCCAAATGCAGACCAACATACAGTATTTACTACTGTATTTATGTGAATGGGGACATACCTATTATCGCCCGTAGGTATGCTACAATAGATAGATAGATAGATAGATAGATAGATAGATAGATAGATATGAACTGTTTGAAAATAGATAGTGTTGTAACCTAGGAAGGGTTACTTAATAGAATAATCAAAAAAAATGTTTGTAATAAACGATACATAGACATGGACAACACGCATAAGATTCGCCAGCGGCGCGTAGAAGAAATAGTCAACTGCTAGAAGTGAGTCAAGTGAATTCTACAATTAATCTTTAACGAAGCAGGCTATCTAACAACGACCCATGCAGTCAGATGTGGCGCAAGGTCGAATTTAATGTGGGGTATAAAACGAGGTCGGGTAACTCTTTTCCGAGATGAGACTCTGCCCTTCAAGATAGCCTCGTCTGGGGATCCTCTTGGTCCGGAGGAAGAGAGTTTGACCAGCACAGCTGGAGACGAATCTCAAACTTCAGAATATCTACCAATACCCCACGTGGAGAGATGTGGCACGTCCGAATTTAATGTGGGGTATTCGAGCCCGTAGGTTCGAACAAACATTCCCCGTAGACCCCGTATAAAACGGGATCGGGTAGTTGTTTCCCGAGACAAAACTCTGCCCTTCAACATAACCTCGTCTTGGTATCCTCTTTGCCCGGAGGCAGAGAGTTTGACCAGTACAGATGGAGACGAATCTTCGGCAGTAGGATATCTACCAACCGCCCACGCGGACGAATGTAGCACAAAGCCGAATTTAATGTTGGGTATCCGAGCCCGTAGGCTCGGCTAAAAATTCCCCGTAGATCTTACTTATTATAAAACGCAGATTGTGTGTGTGTGTGTCTCTGTACGTTTATATATTGGATCGGATTTCCTACATTTTTCAACCGATTTCAACAAAACTTCACAGGACTACGTAAAATTACCTTGCGGTGGTTCTGACAGCGCCAAAAATTGGAAAAACACAATTGTTTTTGCACGAAATCAAATTGAAAACACAATTCTGTCGCCAGAACGAAAGGGGGACAACTCATATCGAGTTATACTGATAAAAACCCAGGTTGTTTATGTGTGTGTGTGTGTTCGTTTATATATGGGATCGGATTTCCTACATTTCTCAACCGATTTCAACAAAACTTCACAGGACTACGTAAATATGGTTCTGATCAAAAATTGAAAACACAAATTGTTTTGCACGAAATCAAATTGAAAACACAATTTGTCGCCAGAACGAAAGGGGGACAACTCATATCGAGTTATACTGATAAAACCCAGGTTGTTTATGTGTGTGTGTGTGTTTTTATATATGGGATCGGATTTCCTACATTTCAACCGATTTCAAATAAAACTTCACTTTTTTTTGGCAGGTAGTGTTTCTATTTTTTTTTTTTTTATTTTTATTCATAATACTTTAAAAATTCCATTTACAAGACAATTGTTTATAATAAAATTCTATTCAATCGATAGACTCATAACGATTGAAAACAATGTTTTGTTTGAGTTTGGGTTTGACCAATTCGTAAAAAAAAAAAAAAAAAACTAATTAAGACATGCGTGTCCATCAACCTTAAACAATAATCTTTGTCAATTTTTATTTTTCAGTCTTTATGATGGGCGATACTTGATCTATCTCTTACTGTTACATCCCCGGGCAACGCCGGGCTCTACTGCTAGTTCCGTATAAAACGGAGTCGGGTAGCTGTTTCCCGAGACGAGACTCTGCTCTTTGACATAGCCTGGACTGGGCATCACAGCTGGAGACGAATCTCCAACTGTAGACCAACATACAGTATTTATTACTGTATTTATGTGAATAGGGACATACCCATTATCGTCCGTAGTGATGCTACAACACTTACAATTGTCATATTTTAAAGATATCGTAACTTTATGTAACTTACTTCTTTTCAGTAGACTAAATTATTGCAGATTTTAAAACAGACTAGCCGCTGTCCCCCTTTTCCTATTTAGACCCTCGATCTCTGTCACTGTCAGCCTTCGGCCCGTTTGTCATATCTCTTCATTCCCTCCTTTTTTAACTCTTTATTTATTTTGTCATTCTAACTAAAGTATGCAGTCCTGGGTATGACGATAAACTACATTCGTCTGCAATGTCTCTGATCGGGAGATTGGAGGTTTTGAGGAGTGGAGAATCACCTTTTAATTGCAGTTGTTCCCAGTTCACCCTGACCCAGGATGGTAGTACCTGTTAGGGTCCCAGCTATGGGTAAATAGTTAACCCACCAAACAAAAAGAAAAAATCCATGAAAATATAAAAATATTATAAAATTAATATTATAAAAAAAATACTAACAATACATCAACGAACATGAAAGATCTCTTTCATGAAATTAATCCATATAATATCCTACAATTTCTTAAATCAAATTGTATTAAAATATATAGCTTCAATAAAACTACAATATGAATAAAACATACCACTGCCTATAGTAATCATGTCCACACAAATATGTATATGCACAAAAGTTGAGTATCATCTACCATGTATTCAGTTGTGAAAGCAGAATAACATATATCATATTTTTATTACTTCAAAGCTGCCAAGAAAATTAACTTTTGGTATTAAATGACCTATAAATTGTTATTCCGTTAAACAAGTACATAAATAAACTATTCTCAAGTTTATATTTATTTATTCTTTTCAACTTTGACCCATTTGGCTTTCAATAATGTTTTTTTTCAGTGCACCCACGTCGCTACCGAATGTGACACAAGGTGGAGGTTAAAAGTAGTTTTAACGGCAATACGGTCGAAAAATTGCTCAAGCCCCCTCGGCACTTCCTTCCCCTTTCGGGGACACCTTAGGCGCCGAGTAATGACTCCTGCCCCCTCCCAAAGGTAAGGTATTACCTGGCAGCATACTCCCTGGAGCTTGAGCTTAATATATTTCAGCGTTTGATTGTCCTAAAGCTTTTTCCTGACCGTCTCAGTTACGCACCAACGCACGCGGGACGGAGCCGTACCAGTCGGCAGTATCGGAGTATACACATTAGAATGATTAAAATCGGCGAATAGGTTTACTAGTTTGGTGTAATAGACATCACGCTAAGGTAGGCGCAAAACTGTCTATTTTTTTCCATTTATAAAGAGTTATTCAATGTGAATTTCTTTAATGTGAATTCCATGTAGTTCACACGAAGAATCAGGACGATGTAAGTAATCGAGCAGATAAATAAATGTACCATCTTAGTACATAATTAAACCACAAAAAAGTAATAATAACAAAAGACTTAAGTAGGGATTAGCGGAAAACCGAACACATGGAATATCGAATATCCACGTTAGAACTATCCAGTGGGGTGTTTATTCTAGCAATTCCTATAATGTGAGGAGATAAGACAAAATAATTTCATGCCATTTGCTTAAATTCCACAATATCCACAATTTAGCTTTTCCTGCCTATAAAGACGTTTTATGGATTTTCGCATGTTATTCGTGTTTATTCTAGTGTATCTAATAGCAACTATTCACTTATTTATTTATCTGCATATATTGCTCTACGGTAAAACAGCCCGATTTTCATAACAATTTCGATAAAAAAAAAATAATTGTTAAAACACACATCGGGTTTGTGATTTTACTCTGCTCGTTTATATCTTTGCTATTGTTTATTCATCATCATCACCATCATCGTCGTCATCATGACCATCATCATTATGACCATCACCATGACAATCACCATTATCATCATCATCATCACAATCACCATCATCATCACAATCATCATCACCATCACCATCACATCATCATAATAATAATAATCATCACCATTATCATCACAATCATCATCACCATCACCATCACATCATCATCATCACCATCACCATCAACATCACATCATCATCATCATCATCATGGCTCGGGAATGCCCACGTTAAAAAGGCCTTGTGCCACATGACACCCTCGTGGGGGGGTGACTGAATATCATCATCATCATCGTCATCATCACAATCATCATCATCATCATCATCATCATCATCAGTCCAATAGACAATACTCTCCAGATATCTGGGCTGAAAGTCGAAGAAGTATTCATTCATGCGCCGCGTGCCTTTTTGGCGCCTAAACCTGGCGAGGCCCATTCTTCTTTTTTTTCAAACCACAGCCGATGGTCTCCAAATTGGTGACGGACACATGAACGTTGATTCGATCGGGGTGAGTGGGGAACTCTCTACCCTGACCGTTGACTTAATTCCAAGATGCCCAACAACCAGCGATGCCGTTTAATCACTGCACTCACTGGCTGCGCATATAGCTATGGATCCCAGTCTACCCCTATTGTGCTAGGCGCACGATGACCCCACGAAAAGAGTTATCTGCCCTTTGACAAATCATGCTTTTAAACCTGCTGGGTGTCTAAGCTCACCAGAAAAGCCAGGTGGGAAAACCGTGTGTCAGGTAGTACTATGTTACATAATAGTACTCTTAGAGTGACCTGATAGTGTTTTATTAAAATTTTACATTTTATTTAGATTATTTACATTCGGAATATTGTCCTCCTCTTTGTTATTATCACAACGTTTCGGCTGTTGCGTTCTCTGGCCCTCTTCACATGGCTATCAATCCAAGTAACCTTTGAAACTGGAAAAATAGGTTAAATAAAGAATTCAGTTTGAAATGCTGTTACATCATCGCCGTGATAACAAAAAATGCGGACATTCGTCCGAATGCAAATAAGGATAATTCCTCGTCCGAGAAATTCCGACAGAAAATTCTGCTTTTTAGTCCTCATTATTCAAACGCAGGTATGTTGTTATTTGCTCAGCGTAGCTTAGATTGCTTCAAAATTACACCTAGAAGGCATCCAGCGAGGATCGAACTCATTACCCAGTAACGAGAACCAGTCAGACTAACGCGCTAATCATTAATCCAGTGCTTGTCGCTGGTGAATGAGCAACCGTAAGTTTATCCACTATTCTATCACTTTCCTCAATATTTTTACTAATTATTCCAGAACTCTCCTCAGTATTCAAGTTGATTTTAATAATGCTAGTTCGCAGATTTTTTCTATTTTGCAAGACCCTTCCACATTCTTATTGTTTCCTTGTTATTGCGACTTAGAAGAAACCGATTGCATCCCCTGCAGAGGGTTAATATTACTATCATCTCCAAAAGGAGTCATTGGATAAATACTTGCAAAGCAGTATACATACCGGGCCAATGTCTACCTTGTTCTATTCTAATGTAAACGAGACTGGTGTCTACCATTTTTGCTATAGTGTAAACTGGACCTATGTCTACCTTTAACCCGAGTTTAAATTGAACAGGAGTTTAACTTTCTTAATTTAGTGTATGTCTATCTATTATTAATTCATTGTGATTTTTGTCCTATAATATTTATATTTGGCATAAAATAGCCCAAAAGTTTTGTTAAATTTCCCAAACTCATCTAACACTATTATTATTAATTATTATTATTATTATTATTATTATTATTTACTTTGATCTCTGTTGTATACACATTTCCGTACGGGTCCCAATCAAAGACCTATGGTCAGAAATGGCTTCATGACATTTTCATTGATCATTTTTGTAAAAAACAAACATGGATCAAACAGTTTACATAGATAAAGCTCTTCGTAATATGTGAGCTGTACTTGTGAGTACAAATTTTTGTATTTCTTTAAGGCATGGGTGACCAGGAATCCCTTCAATCACTCTATCGCAACATTTTCCTATCAAATCCGAGGACTCCAACTACAACTGGAATTACTGATGTCCTCATGTGCTACACTTTTGGGATTTCCACCTGTATTTTCATACTTTTTTCTGAAGATCTTCAAAGGTACATTACAATTTGCAGGAACTGTCATGTTAATAAGAAAACACATTCTATTTTTGTGGTCTTTGGTCACGAGATCTGGGCGATTAGTTTTGATTTTTCTGTCTGTGTGTATTGTAAAGTCCCATAAAATTGTTACAGGTCCTATCTCTGTAACCGGGTCTGGGTGGTGTTCATACCAATTTCTTGCAGGTTCCTTTCCGTAAAAGTTACATATTTTTCAGTGCCAATATTGACCCATTCTATCATACCGAGTTTCATATTCAATGGGTGCTAACACTGTGCAACCTGATACAATATGGTCAATTGTTTCTGGATATTTATCCCGGAATATGCATTTCGCGTTAACACAAATTTTCAGTACGTGTGCTTGGTAATTTTTAGTTAGCAACCATTGTTTACATTGTTCGGACTATCATCCTCATTTTTGTTGCCATATTTATCACAACCTATCGGCCGTTGTATGCTCCGACTTTCTTCAGGTGGTTGGAATGTTGAACTGAACCCTTTATTTTATATCCACTGTGTTATGTGTCCACATTTTTCTAATTTGATTTCCAGGTCTTTATACTTCGATAGTTTTTTTCAAAATCCTTGGTTGCTATGTTATAGTCCGCTGGGTAAGCCATATCAATTAGTAGACATTTTCTTTGTTTTCGTTATTTGAAAATTATGTCTGGCCTATTTCCTTCAATCTTCTGGTCTGTAAAGATAGCCTTCTTCTATTTCTGTAACCGGTGTTAGGTGATGCTCACACCAGTGTTTATTAACATCTTTTCCAACGTGTTTGCACATTGTCCAGTGTAAGTTTTGCCACACACTATCGTTACGATTTCTATATTCATTTGGCATAAATACAGTACATCCTGAGATTAGATGGTCTATGGTTTCCTGATATCTATCAGAGAGCCTGCATTTTGGATCCGCACAATTATGTTTATTTGCGTGAACATTTCTTGTGAACAGACTGGTTTTGCGCTGCAAGAATAAAGCCTTCCTTGTTTTCTTGTATACTATTCTTGTGTTCTGTAAAATAATTCGGTTCATTGTTCTGAGGAATCATTTTATTGCAGGCTTGTGATCAACTAAGATCTTACCTTTCCAGATCTAAACCATTATCTTCATAGTAATTTGGTTTGTGTCTCAATTTCTTCATTATGATATTTGGTTTGTGTGGTGTTAGTACTTTTTATGTCCATTTTTGGCTCCCTTTCATGTTCTGTTGATTCGCCTATTCTGGTTGCATTTCTTTTTATTTCTTTAATTTCAGCGCAACTGTCAATCGGTTTATTCTCATGATGTACCTTATTACATTGGCTAGTTTATTTGTGTCAATGGACTTTCTAATTGCTTGTCCAAACTTTTCTCGCCAAATGGCATATGTTTGGCGAGTGTGCTTTTCTGAGGTTTGTGCAAAGCTTCATAGAATGCAGTCATAAAGAGTTTGTCCTCCTCACGAGACCATTTTACCTTGTCTTTCTTTAAATGGCGAGTTGTGGATCTAGTTGGAGAAATTGCAGGCCCACCATTGGGATTATCCCAGTTGTTGGGATCTGAAGATACATTATTTGTGTAGGAGTTTGTTCCTATGGCAGATTTTTCGACCTCAGGTAGTGGAATAACAAAAGACAGCAAGAGTAGGTTTAAGGAAGCTTTATTTTGCTTAGAACAATTCATACCATCGTAGTGACTATTTATGGTCCTCTACAAACGAAAGAGTTCTCCAAAGGGAGGTAATCATAAAACTAGAGAGATTACTCTCGAATACTTTATCACATTCTCCTCCATTTTATTTTAATCATGCAGGACGAATTCGCTCCATCGCCAGGGGGTTTTGAGGGTTCGGTTGGAACATCGTAGTAGCATCAATTTGAGTTTCCGGGTATAAAGACACACTGGGATCGATTTTCTCTCTCCGTCCTGAGTTGGTATAAACACATCTTCTGCGTGCAGGTTGTTGATATTCTGAAAAGAGGGGTTCCGAATCGGATTGTGGATGGGCTCGTTTCGGAGTAATTAAAAGATCGTCCACATCTGGCTCACTCTGAGCCTTCTGGTGTTCCCGATATTCTGATATTCGGAGAGAGTCTGTAGATGAATCCCATGGCGCAATGCTGACAGGCTGACTTTCAGCTGCAGTGGAAGGGTATTCAGATGTAGACCCCTCCTCGCAAACTATATTAGGTGCAGGTAAATCTGTTGGAATTTTTGGGTACCCTGGTATACTAGTGAGGCAGCCAAAATGAGCTGACTCATTTTATAGTGCACCAATAGAAGGGTTAACCAATCAGAAGGCTCAAATGCGACGTGTATAAAGGCGGCCATGTTTTTCCCGAATATTCACTGCCAGCCTTTGATATCGAAGACTGAAGAATTACGGAACAGCTGCTGGTGGTATTGGCGATATAGTCAGATTCAGTAAAATGTCTGACTCGTGAGTATTAATCTTTAACGTTGTTTCAGTGAAAGATTACGTACTGCGCTGTATTCTATATTCATAGACTATGGTGAACATGGTCAACAAAATCCCCTTCGGGTGCAATGTCTCTGAGGGAAACAGTAGATTCTTGTCCATCCAAATGTCGCACCAGGGCATAATAGGAATTCGCTTCCATTAGGTCCATTCCATTTGTCAATGGGTCAGTATTGTTATGACGGACGAAACATCCCAGAGCCACCATTCCGGATTTCGAGAACCATGAAGGAATCGAAGTTCCACCGAGCTTCGTCGCTGAAATGGGAGAAATCTTTCGTGAGGTGTAATGTTTGTGACTGTACATAGAAGAGTTCTAAGAGCGTACAGAGATTCAGGGAAGCCAGTTGTATGCTTTTCCATATTATGGCTTTTTATCGTTCGCACTGACTATTATCCTGAGGGTGGTAACGTGTCGTTCGGCTTGTGGCCACTTCTAGTTCAGAAAGAAAATTTTCAGAGCTGCTCAGACATGAAAGAGACTCCGTGGTCTGAAACGCGAATGGGTGTTGTGAATATTCGTCGATGATGGTTAGTATGTAACAATTCCTATTTTTCGATGGCAAGGGACCCTTGAAATCTATGTTTAACCACACAAACGGTTGAGTGGCTTTTATGAGCGCACCAGTTTTAGGCCTGAAGAACTAAGGTTTATGTTCTGCGCATATTCTACATGGTTTTATCAGTTTGATATGATAAACTTCTGATTTGTACCACATGTGTCATCATTGTTATGCTTGGGGGGCACACTTTTTTGTTTAGTATAGGAAGCTCATCCGTATTCGATATCGAACTACATAGCTCTCGATAATGCGTCATTCTCTACTGCGGAATTTTCTTTACCAGGTCGGTAGATCACACCAAAGTTCAATTTTCAATCTCGCCCATGTTCACGGCTTCGTTATACATCTTGTTTAACCTATGTCTAACTGCCTGATCTTGGTAGCGCTCGCTAGCCGACCGCTCCAGATCCTGCATAGCTAAACATATTTCTAGGAAATCCCCGAGGCCTCCAACCGGCACAGACTATCCTTGAGCACCTTCACATTTTTAGCCTTAATTAGTGCGAGTCGCTGGCTATATTCCGTGGACGTAACTATACTCTTAAGCCTCTCCCGCCACTTATTCCCAATAACCGCTTTTTCTGATCCAGATGATAACCCCACGGGCATTGGGGAAATTTCTTGGATCTTCCACTGACTTTCCGTCTACTTTAAAGTGGGGCCCTAACGGGGTCTTCTTTGGGAGAGCAGATCACTCTCCCGTGCTTCTCTGTCTATATGGCATTTTCCCCTCTCTGAAAGAATTTCCCCTTTTGGGAGGTGCTGCAGTGAGGATTGTGAGGAGGGGTGTGCTCGGAGGAAGGGTATTGTAAGGAGGTGTGTTGGGCGGAGGTTTGTTTAGAGGAGAATCAGGGAAGCTTTAGAAGGCGAAGAATAGAGACTTCGGGAAATGCCTTGTTGCCTATGTTCTTTTTTGGGTGTGGAAGGAAGGATTGTGACTTGGTTTTATCCAAGGATTTCTCCGCCCTACTCCGACCAGTTCGCTTCGCATTTTTTGCTACTATTTCTTCTTCTTCTTCTTCTTCTTAAGAACGGAGGTGGAGGTATTTCTTCCATAGCCATCTCTTGGATTTGTTGCTGCTTTGATTGTTGCTCCTCCTGTCCCTGCTGACACTCCAGTTGGAGCTACTGCTTGTTTATACTTTGCTGCTGTTGCTGCTCCTTTTGTCCGTTCAGGTTTTGTGGTCAGTTTCTCGATCGCCTTTGGTTCCTTTTGTTGGTGGGAAGTGGTCATTGTAGTCTTTGCCCCACACCTTACTATTTCTGTCCACTTCCCTGGGCTATTATCGTGCTTTGGGATCGTGGCCACGTCCACTTTATCCTTAGTTTTGGTTGATTCTCTGACCTCTTCCTCGGGCACGCCTTTGACAGATGGCCAGCTGCCCCACAAGCCCAGCAGAAAGGTCATCGTCCTTATATACCACGTAGACAGAACGGCCACCGCGGATCAACACGTTCGGAATGTCAACGAAATTCTTCCTAATCACTGTTACTAAAATATTCTATATCACCAGTGGCAATACCGGTCATGCCCTTTACCGCCGATACCACTGCTACTTCTCCAAACTGGGACAAAAACTATCCCAAATGGTCCTCCGAAATAAATAGAGGCACCCCATGAAGAGTAAGTTTTCTCACGTTCTATAGATTTTCTTTGAAGTTTTACTGACTTTGTAATAAGAATATTCCCAGTCAGTGACTTTGCCGCTTCTTCCGTTGGGAGCAAGGTATCCCACATTGCATTACTACATTACTAAAACTTTCGCTGCAATATTTAGGCTTTTCAGTGCCTCTTCCATGATTTCACTGTTGACACATATCAGCTCAGCTTACCTGTCTTAACGTCGGTTGTCAACAGGGATATTGTTTTGGTATTCACAGAGTTCATTTCCTGATACGAACTTTTCATAATGTTCTTTGAGACTCGTATAATAATTGGGACCTTTTTGTGGGGGTCTATCTCCCACCCAAAGTGACGGACTTTCAACAATGGGTGTCGAGTCGACTGCCTGTGTCTGCGCCAAAATGTTGTCGTTCCCACGACATCGGTGACAAACCAAAATAAAACGGCGAACACGTAATGGCGAACAGTAAACAAAATGTCACACAAATTCAACAATAACAAAATCCAACAAGAACAATGAATGCCGACAAAATCCAACACTTACTTTTGCGAAATCAACCGATGTGAAATCCAGTTGAAGTGTTAGTTATAAGCTTTATTCTGCGTAGTGACTATAGTCCTCTACAAATGAATCAAAAATCTCCCGATTACTTTAACACAGGTTGGTTCCCTGTTTATGCACTGAAAGAGTCATACTGGATATTTTGATATGACTTTTAGTTCTCATATTGCTCCCACGAGTGATGCACTTGGCCAAAGTCGGCCGGCACATTAGTTAATGATCTTTTACTGACATGGTTCCAAAGACTCTAAGGGATCATTCGCGACCTCATAACGCAGCAGCCATTCACTCCTCGGTATGATTAACACCTTGAGTTGCCAGCCGTTGTTCGGAGTTTTCCTTCCTGTTAAAAAAAAAAGACCATACTAAGTTTAACTTAGTATATGTTGCAAGGACCACTACCAGATAAAAGGGCAGTTGAACATACATCGGGGGGTTACCACGGAAAAAAAAATGAATAAAATATATCAACCAATATGATCCTTACCCATGCCTCCCCATATATATATATATATATATATATATATATATATATATATATATATATATATATATGCGCTCATCTACAAAGATACACTAGATAAGCGCAGTTCATTTACGGAAACTTCCGGAAGTGTGGAAAAATGTTTTTAAAAATAAGGATAAAAAAATAGATTAAAAGGAAAAGAAAAAAAATTAAGGATGAACTTAAGTCAAATGCAATTTAAAAAATGAAAATTAAAAAGTTTACATAATGAAACGGGACCAGAGATCACATTATAGGATAGATCTCCACCCCCAACACTCCGGCACTACAAGTTAGTGGAAGGGCCACTAAGGGATTCATTAAACAAAACAAAACAAAAAAAAGAAAAACCCAAAAGATCTGGCATTTGGGAACTAGATAAGCCCATTAAAAAAAGTAAAGGAAAAACAGGTAAACAAACAATACAATCCTTACTCATGCGCATACACGTATGCACAGACATACACGCACGCACACAAACACACACACACACACACGCACGCACACACACTCAAGTGATAGCGATTGCTGTATGAGTCGTACGATTTTTGAATCAACCCCGTGTCTTGATTCAAAAATCGTACGACTCCATACAGCAATCGCTATCACTTGACTTAAAATATTTTTGCCTTTCCTTGCCTTTAAAGGAGTGCCCTTTGCCGTGCTGATGTTGCTACATGCCTTACTTCTTGCCTGCGAATTTTTTCTAAACTCTATACTAAACATTAAATCTGTTACGAAAAAAGAACTAAACAAAATAAACACAAAACAATCAGCTTTAAAAAAAGGATTCGTAACTGGAAAAACCGAATGAAAAAAGAATGTTAACAACAAATACTTTTTCACGCCCAACCCAGTTCTGCGGAATCAGAATCAACGTTGAGTTTAAGCAAGCGAATGAGCCAATTGGAGTAAAGTGCTATGCAGATTTAAATTTTTCCCACTTGTGACGAATGCAGCTATCGATTTTTTTTTTTGCATGCTAGCATGCTAGTTAACATTCGTGTCAGTCAGCTGTTGGCTATCACGCTGGCCAATAGAATCTTCCTGCCTATTCGTGCCTATTGGCTTTCACTCTGACCAGTACAAAATGGCCGCAAACTACATGAAAAGTGCCATAGAAGCATGAAAAAATGGATTATTTCCACTATCGATGGGAGTTGGGAAATGCAAAGTCGGTCTTGGCTTCCCGCTAACTTGGAGCATGTGCATGTAAAGTTTGGTGCAAATACATCGAAAATTGCGGCCGTGCATTCGTTACACACACATACATCCTGCCTTTTATATATATATATATATATATATATATATATATATATATATATATATATATATATATATATACGTATACAAACATCCCATCCACAAAGATACACTATACTTAGAAGTGTGGAAGTGTCGAAAAATAAAAAGATAAGGATAAAAATATTATTATTAATATTATTATACATTAAAATTTAGCATCAAAGACATCTACCGACATTTACTTGAGATCAATTTACAACAAGTCCTTTATCATTCCAGTACTCTCCTCAGTATTCTGGTCAGTCTAAATAGTGGTGTTGCCTGGATTCTTTCTGGAAGTATCCAATTCATTCACTTTTTTACAAACTTTTATTAATCTGTATGTAGTATCTGTATGTTCACACCAATTCGTGTTAGATAAAATGAGTGGATAAATATTCAGTGGAACAAATCATAAATCCGTCTTGTTTTCCCAAGGCATTAGTTGTTACCTTCCATTGTCAGGCTCGACAGGGGGGCACTCCTGATATCCCACTTGAAACAGAAAATTGTGAATTTGTCCAGATTCCCCAGTTGTAATGAAATCACAGAATTTTGGTCATTAATTTTCTTTTTCTTTTTCTTTTATATCTACATTGTGACAGACCCATTATTGGCCAAAGTTTCTCACAGATATTTTGTGGTACACACCCACTCTCATTTATATTGTAACACCTGGTCTTACACAGCGAAAAACGCCTTTGTGACGCAAAAAAAAAATCTTTTCATGGTAAATAGGAGTAAATCAACTGATTTGTCAACTCGGATTACAAAACTGAGATCTTTTTTTCTGTCATTAATTGAGAACATCCAATAAGATGTCCCCAGTTATGAAAACGAGACTAAAAATCGTCTCATTTATTTATTTATTAACTTGGTCATTTCTTTTTACAATCTTAATCGCATGACTCTTTTTCAAGCATGTCTGATCCTAACAAATGTCCGGCATACGCAACGTAATATGTAAGGTGGACACGAACATGAAAACATTTCCATTTTCCTGTATGGAATTCTGAAAGGAAACACTTATGATATTAGGTTCTAAAGAAATAAATGGCGGTTGTGAATCATAAAATTGTAAACACCATAACTTAGCTCAAACACAACTTTATTAACCAACGTAAGAATCATTCGAATCGAAAAAAATGTTGCCAACAATACGACTGTGATTATATATCATACTGATAAAAAACCATTGAAATCGACAAACTTCCGGAGGACATATTTGATTTGTACGACATTGTTCTACACCTACTTGGATTATGTGAACATGGATCGAAAATAATTGTTCGAAAACATTTATTATTACACCACCCAGACACCCAAGCTTATAGCACCCGATATTCCCAATCGGTCACGCATTTAAGTACTAACAAGTCTCAACGTTGCTTAACTCCGGTGATCGTATGGAAACTGGTGTTTCAACGTGATATGGCAATAAGCCTGTTCCTTCTTGATGTTAAAAATGTGTCCCTTTTCTTCTTATATTCTCTAAAGCCTCGTCGTTGCTCACATGCTTATTCCATGGTATTCTCAATATCCTTCTGTAGAACTAAATTTCTGTTGCCGCAAGTCTCTTCTTTATCTGCGAGATGATTGTCCAGAGCCATTTCTGCAAGCATTTGCACATAACTTATAAAATAATCCAAATGAATGAACGATTGTGAACATTGTTCGAAAATAGTTGTTCGAAAACAATTATTCGCAATCTTTTATTCGAACTGTAAATTGTTTAAATAAAAATTAATCGAAAGGACAATTATACTAAATGATAATTATTTGAAATTCAAAATTCTTTATCGCAATAAAAATGTAAAAATTAAAAGAGGAAATACACAAATGATAATTGTTCAAAATACAAATATCGTTAATAAAACAATTTAGTAAGAAAAATCCTTATAACCTTAAGTTATATGATAATGCATACAAATAGTCAACTACTGAAGAGGACTCGTTAAAGGAATGCCACTAGTTGTTTAAGTTTTTCATTTACGTCGCGGTATTTGTTGGCTCTCTTGATATTTTGGCAACCTGCTCTTACTTTAGCAATATGAATTTCTTGCAAGGAGTGTTCTCTTTTAAAAGCGTCTAAGAATTTCCATATTGTGGAATGATCGGATGACATTTGCTGCAAAAAGGCCCTATGCCATCCTTCAAGGGCGTTATTAGTTCTAGGTAAATCTCTCAAAGCAAGACCACATACTTATTTAATTGTCCTTTCGATTAATTTACATTCAAACAATTTTTCAGTTTGAATAAATGTTTTTTCAATAATTGTTTTCGAACAATTTTCTCGATACGCTGGCGTGTTCATATGTCTAAAGACGGAAAACAATGGTATTCGGTCGGGGACAGATCAACTGACTAGAAAAGTTCTAGTAGAACCTTGATGTCAAACTGTATCACTGGTGTTTGATGAAATATTAGGTCTGCCGCAGGTTGAGCCTCTCTCTGTTCATCAGTTTGGGCCAAAATATTTGCAAATTTCGATCCATCTGTTCCGAACGAGGCCAATAATACTCCCGTTGATGTTCTAACCAATTAACAAGAACCTATAACGCTCAAACCATCACAGAACAGACAAAATATAGGAACGATATTTTGGGAAAATATCTGACTTTGGAAAAGTTGAGGAGAGAGAAATCCACGTTTCTGTATATTAGACAAGAACCAATATTTAAACATGGACAGCTGTCTTCATCTTTTGTTGTTGTCATCACCAGGTTTCGGCCGTTGTACTCTCTGGCTTCCATCAGGTGCTTTTCGTTCCGGCTAACCCTCTAAATGAATCCTTTATTTAATCCACCGGGGCATATTGATCTCGGTTTACTGCCCATCTCTAGAGATATCTCGTTCATTTCTTAGTTTTAGTACTGCTCAGTTATTGCTTGCCCTACACCCTGCCCGGCCGAAGGATTGAAGTCACAATTACTGTGTTAACAAATTCACGAACCGACGATTTAATCCACTAGAATATCGCCCCGTGGGATATAATGTAAAGCATGTAAATAATTAATGACAGCTCGTCATCCCAGAAATTCAAACAAAAATATATTGAGTGTAACAACAAAATTAATAAATAATATATAATAATATATATATATATATATATATATATATATATATATATAGATAACTAGACTCGTTTTTGAAAAAACCCTCGAATTTTTGATTTGTTAATAATCAAATCAATCTCGAGGAAAAAAAGGTTTTAAAAAAGAAAGAGCTACAAACATGAACTTCTGCCGACAAAAAAAATCGCACAGATACAGGTCTGAAGGCCAAAGAAAAAACCCGATACGAGTAAACAACTAACTAACAAAAGCGCTCAAGAAAACCGTAGACAGAGATACACCTAGTGAGCCAGACAAACCTACCTAGGTTTCACCTAAACGGATCGTCAGGGGATATATATATATATATTATATATATATATATATATATATATATAATAAATATATATAATAAATGATTATATATTTCTGAGATGAGGTATTATGTACATTATTTACATTATTCGGATTATTGTCCTCATCTTTGTCGCCATATTTGTCACAACGTTTCGGCCGTTGTACGCTCCCGCCTTCTTCAGGTGGTTGAAATGTCGAACTGAACCCTGCATTTCGATCACTGGGGTAGACTGTTCTAGTTCCACGTGCCATGTTTGATGGATGTCAGTTATTAGTTATCTCCTGCTCATATAATCTTTTATTTAACTTTCTTGAGATTTCTCGGACACATTCCTTCTGGCAACCCTTACAGGTCATTGAGTAAATTCTTGCTTCAAGTTTTGGTTGCTTGTCTTGTTTTGTATTGATTAAGTTTTTTATTGTTTTAGATGTAGTTGTGACAAATTTATGTTTACATCAGTTATATATATGGCTGTAGATTGCACTTGTACTGTGACACAAACAGTTGGTTGTTTTTTTTTAGCGACATATCAACCTCTATGGGTTATTTAATGCCGAAATTTAAATAATCTGAACACAATCTTATTTTGTTAACTAAATATATTTTGAACGCAGTTGTATACTTGTTGGTTATTTTACTATAAATATGTATTGTTAGTCATTTTTAGATAAAAATGTATGGCTGGTATTTTTACTATGAAAAATGTATTTTTTTACTACTTACTACCATAATGTTTGTTTTATTCATTTTTTTTATTATTTTTTTGGTGGAGTCACTATTTGCTTTTCACTGGAACCATTAAAGGTGCCAGAATCCAGGATCAAGGTAGACATGGAAACAACAACAATAAAGAGATAGTTCCAGGCTTCTCAAAACCTCTAATCTCCCCGATCAGAGGTCTTGCTGCCGGGTGTAGTTTATCGTCAGACCCACGACTGAATTAAACCGTAAAAACGACGTTCGCATCTTAGTAACGAATTCATTTCCCATCCGAGGTAAAATTTATTTCCGGTTCAAATGTAACAAACTGAGCGTTGTGACAAAAAAAAAAAAAAAAAGCAACAATTGAGAAGAATATAGAAATAATAAAAAAGATAAAAAAAAAAAATGGTAATGAATATATCCTTCAGCTGAGAAATTCAAACAACTTTACCTGCCTAGTAATCGTTTTGGCTAGATAGCTGTCGACCCACAAACCTATGAGGCGATTTTACGGTTGAGGGACTTGATGAAATGTTACTTAAGCTACTGTTGTGAATGAAATCACAGACAGAAGTATGCAAAGATGATTACACAGTTTTCTTTTCTTCTTGATCTGGAATAAAAAAAAGCTTGATTTTAGGTCGATTTTATGTTCTCCCATCTCTTTTTTAGTCCGACCTCGAGAATTCAACAAAAGATCCGAGATACAAAGATTTTTAGAAGGTATAACCTATTGTTACTTTTTACTATTTGTGGAAAAAATCACAGACAGATACGCACAACCATATTTAGCCAATTAATACCGGCCATAAATTCTAGTATTAATTATAATTTATATAAAATGCGTTTCTCAGAATGTTTTTTTAAGATTAAGACACAAAATATTTAAACGTTTTCTTTTTTAAAAAAATTACCATAAACAATTTTAAACAGCAAACCTTATCATCAACACCCTTCAAGACCTAAATTACAGAGAATTAAAATTATTTACGAATTCACATTCCCCTTAAGTAACTCAATTCCAGATCAAGCCATGAATAATTATATTAGACCTACCACTATATATATATATATACCTACCAAGAACACTCACGTTATCACCAAACCCCATCCGCAACATACTTTGTAGAAAATACAAGAATAATAGCCTCGTCTACATGCAGAAAAAGACTAAAAACAAGAGAACCATTAATAATAATAATAAAAACAAAAAGCCAACACTCAATAACATCAACTATGAACACAGCCACAATGTGCTGACCGTGTTCGGAAATTAATAAAACACTCCCATCACTCTATAAATATATAAAAATCTACACATTCAGTTAAAAATATTTTTAAAAAACTCCTTGATAATAGTTAATAAAATAGCCGAAAGCACTCGGGTATGGCTAACACTTGAACTTTAAAGATTATATGTCTAGAAAATAAAATACATATACGAAAGAATTAAATAAAAAAATTAATCGCACTACCTTCTTTAAGAGGGATTGCTCTTAATTGCAGATTTAAAAAAAAACTTTGAGAGTTTTGGCAATTAACAAAGATGGCCGACCAAGAAGCATGCTCCAGGATTGAACAGCGGTCAGTTATCAAGTTTTTGGTTGCTGAAGGGTGCAAACCAGTTGAAATTCATAGGAGAATGTCAACTGTGTATGGTGCCACATGTTTCAGCCAAAAAAAAAAAAAAATGTCTACAAGTGGGCTAAATTGTTTAAAGAAGGACGGAGCAGTGTTGAGGATGAAGACAGGTTCCTGAGGTGATCGAATCAGTCAATGACCTCATTCAGTCTGACAGAAGAACTACTGTGAACTGCTGAGGCAGGTCATGAAAGACATAAAGAACAAACGCAGGGGTCATCAGTCAGAAGGAGTCATCTTGCATCATGACAACTCAAGGCCTCCCACAGCAGCCCAAACGGTGCAGACCATCAACGAGCTGGGCTGGAAACTGCTCCCTCATCCCCCTTACAGCCCAGACCTTGCCCCATCAGACTTTCACCTGTTTGGTCCCTTGAAAGCGTTCACGAGAGGCACGAAGTTTAAAAGTGACGATGAAGTCAAAAGTGTTGTGAGCGACTGGCTGAGACATCAGTCCAAAGATTTTTACGCTGAGGGAATACGGAAGCTTGTGCACAGATGGGAAAAGTGTGTGCCAGTGCGGGGTGACTACGTTGAAAAATTAAAAAAAAGTAAGCTTCTATCTGTAATAGAAGTCCTTATACCGAAAAATTCACCTTATTTATTGAATGACCCTTGTAATTTTCAATGTCGCCGCTTCTTCATGCTGTAAATATTTAGTTCATTGTGGTTAAAGCTAAAA